ACAGAAAAGTTTTAGCCCTTTCATGTTTTACTTTATTCTCTTTCAGTAAAATTCCTTCTTTTATTCTTCTCTTTCTTGTTTTTTTTTGTCTCAGAACTAAGCATTATAGTTGACATAAATCAGAATATTATAAATGACCACAAAAAGCAATTTTGTATCCACAGCGTTTAGTTCAGTTCTGAAGAAAAACAAAACTGCAGCTGCTTTTGCTTTCAAGAAAAAAATTGAAAAACACAAATTATACTGCTGCTAACTGCAGAAGCAACAACAATACAACAATATGCTAACTTTTAAAATTTTTCAGTTATTTCCTTATCTGTTCAAATTTTACAGGTACAATTTGTTTTGCAATTGGTTCCAATTGGTAAGACACTGCTGTTTCATTCCCATTATAAACAAATATATAATAATAAGAGCGTATTATACATAAATAATTACAGTCATAGAAATTGACTTTGTCCAAATAAATCGCTTTCGTTTGAATAGAGTCAATATAATGTATCCTCTAAAAACTCAGATTACATTATTATACAACCTTCAGTAAATGTAAAAAGTACAGCTAAACAGAAAAACAAAGTAATTTTTGTGTACAAATTTTACATTCCTTTAGCTTTTTAACTTACATAATTAAAAGTTTCAAGCAATTTTTTCTTTGTTTCTCTATTGTTTTCCACTACAAAATTTACAGCATTTTTTTGCAAGTTTGATTATTTTTAAAGAATTTATTTTACCAAACAAAAATAGGTGCATAAATAAACAACAACTACTGGTAATGATGAGATGATGACGAAAGACGAGTTGAGAGAAATTGAATGAAATTTTGAAGCATAAATTTGTTGGTTATTTGCTAAGCTGAAATGATACCGACTATAACAATCAGTTATTTCCTAAACCTACTGCTTTTTGGTTACCCAACTTTATAAAGTCCAATAAGAGTCTGCTTGAGTTAACACTGATAAAAAAATTGCCAGAAACCTTTATTCAAAACTATTTAGTATATCAACAAAATAGATAATGAAGATAATGTGAAAAGATAAAAGATGAAAATAAAACTACTGACAAATTATAAAAAAAAGGCAATTAACAACAATCCCATTATTTATATTAAATGTCAGCTGGAAATAATCTTAACTGTCCCTCTATATTTTTGTCGATTTCAGATCACAAAAGAATTCTTAATTGAAGTTTTTTGTCACCATAATTGAAGAGTTGAGAACATCGCTTACTTTATTTCAGATTATCAAATAAGCAAAGCTTCAGCGACATTAAAAGCCAGAAATTGTTATAATCGAGAAAAGAAAAATACTAGAAAGCATTTATCCTTCCTATTTTTTAAAACCATTAGAGAAGCTGAAAGCAGTAAGCAGAAAAAAAAGAAGTAAGAAAATTGAATTTTTTTTCCTCTCAAATGAAATAATTCTGAAGTCGCCAAAATGTTGTTAATGTTCTCAATGTTACTGCCTTCTTCATCAGTTTTGAGCATTAACTTGAGTTTTTTCTTTTTAAGAAGACAAATTTTTTTTTCTTCCTTCTGACAGTTGACGAAAGTTCATTGAAAAAAAAAAACTGTTAGAGCATCAAAACAAAAGCCTTTCGTCAAACATTACATTAGAAAACTGACAAATGCAATCAAGCAGCAAAATAGAATCAGAGCGAATGCGCGCATATTCATCCATTCACATATTTGTTCTTTTTTCCAAGCTTATTCCAAAAAAAAAAAAAAAAGAATACCACTTTTTCCAGAAAACTTTTACAAATATCTTTGTTTTAGACTTTCAGAATAAAATCTGGTCATCATCACTGCTGCATAAATTGTTTTTGATTCCATTCATTAAGAATTCCATTTCAAACCTAGGCTTCAATTTTCGACGACTTCATCATAACAAGGTCTATCGACATGAACTTTTCTATCGTAATTCCCAATGTCTAGCTGGAAAACAGTCAAAAAATGCACTGTTTAATAGCTGTTGAGACAGATTCCAAAAAGAATTATATATATTTTTCCGGCCTAATAGTCTAGCCATTTTCCAATATACCTTCCTAGCCTGAACGCATATCCTCCTTCATAATCAACTGCACACTTTTTGGTTATATTACATCAATTAAAAAGCATCAAAAACACAAGAAAACAATTGCAAATAGCTGTCGTCCTCTTACCATCCTTTACTGTATTCTTGCGAAATCTTTCAACAGTAGTTTACTAAAGCATTTGAGGCTAATACATACGAATATTTTCGGAAGTGTTAAAACCTGATGTTAAGTTAACAAGCGATATCGCCATTCACCGCTAGTAAGTGAATAAAATAAACTGTTAGAACCAGAAAAAATTATCACTGGAACTGCTTTAAAAAAGTCGACAGTTACTTAAACTGGCAATTCCGGTGAATCAGGAAAGTCGTTTTGATTTGGAGATTAAGAATTGTGTGAAACCAATCTAGGTAATGTTCTAGACTATAATGATAAAATTAATCAGTTCTAACTAAATCACACAAAACAGGCCTTATTAATTAATACTTTGACAGTAAAGATACAGGCTTTTTTTGGTTTTACAAGAAAAGTTATTAAAAAGGATGAAAACCCTTGAAAATTTGTGTCAAACAATTTAGCAGTCACCATTTATCCATCGTCTATCTTATTCCTAAAAACCACTTTACTCGACAAGTTGTTAACGATGATTTAAATTGTTACTGAACATTCCTTGTAAAAGAGAACAAAAAAGAAAAAGAACTTGACGCCAACACGAAAAAAAAGACGAGTAAAAGTTCTCTAATTCAAAATAAATATGATTAAAGCGTGTAAAAAAATTTGTTGCGTTACCCTTTTCTCTTTTGCTATTTTTTTTAAGTAAACATTTGCAGACGCATAAGCAAAATAAAATTTGCTTTACTGAATGTGAATAGAATCAAAAAAAAAACGGTGTTCATCTGAATAACTACTTCAAAGATAGTTAAACAACAAAAATGATAAAGGTTAGAAGCAGTATCAAAAACCACAAATAATCATTAAAACTATGAAAATGCAGCTTTTGCACGCTCAGTGATGGAACGACAAATTAAATAGTTCAGTACATAAACAGAAAAAAAATTGTTAAACTTTAAATGACAAAACAGAAAAAATAATGCTTTCAAAATAACCGGCTATCTAGTCAAAAATTAAACTGTTGTTAAGTGGCTAGAAAACCGCATCACGTTTAATTGACTGCATTTTACATTCAGTTATAACTGTTGACAAAACTTCCTCAAAAAATGACTTGCAAATTACTGTATTTGAGGTACAGATAATGCATAAAGTTTTTTAGTAAATTTATTGTTGAAATATACCAAAGCCTACAGCTTTGCCAGCATCTTCATCAGAATTGTCATCGTCATCAGCAATAGCAGCTGAAGTAATACATCATGATTCAGTTGACGATTGACAAGTACTGCATCTCGGCCACTGAACATCAGTGAAAAGTTAGGGTCGTTGAACAGGACCAACATTTGCTCAACCAATAATGCAGCAAAAACACACAAGATGTTTGTTACATAATTATCGCAAAAGCTGTCACAAACAGAAGCATTTTCCACATCAGCTGTATCTGACAAGTTTAAATGTCCGAAAATTTCAACAGTATATTCAGCTAATGCAATTCTAAGTTTTAGTTAAAATAAAATTGAAAAAAAAAACATATCTAATGAATTATAGGTCTATAAGAGTTTCTCAAGTTAAATGCGGAGAAAACTTTATTGTACTTGTTTTAAACAAAATTACAATAATAAGAAACCCATTTTTATCTCATTAAGAATAAAGTTCTCAAAATTTACAAGATGTAAATTAAAAAAAAAAAAACAAGACGTTTTTAACCACAACTACCGAGAT